CATCCCCACCCGCTGCTCCCAGACCCACACCCGGCAGCGTTCCTGAGGGACCCCAGCCCTCAACCTGCCCCCGTGCCTGCGCTGGGCAAGTCGGGAGGGGACGGGGGTTTCTGGGCCCCCAACCCCTTCTCAGACGTCCCCAGAGCCACGGCTAACCTGTCCCTGCAGACGTGGAGCTCTGGCAGTGAATGTTCGGGCCACACCTGCCCAGGGTTGCTCAGGAAACGAGAACAGGAAACCGGACAGCCCACCAGGTGAGGCAGGGTGGGCACAAACGGGTCAGGAGCTGAGGCCACGACCGACTCGCTCTCTGCCGACAAGATGCTGAAGTCGTCCCTGCTCAGACCAGAGCTCGCTCCTGACCTGCGAGTCTGGACACAGGCCACGGCAAGACCTGGACTTCGTTGCTGAGAGGCAAAGTGTGAGGCCGACTCGGTGGTTCAGGACGAGACACGGGCCACGGCAAGACCTGGACGTCGGCGCTGAGAGGCAAAGCGCGTTAATGCCCCTGGAGACAGGCCAGGCTCACCTCCGGACACGTGGACCCGCCAGTCTCAGGGCAAGAGTCTCTCCCAGGCTCCCCGCTGAGAGTGAAGGGAGGTTCGAGGACCGGCCTGCATGCGCAGCCCGGAGGGCAAGTGAGGAGCCCGTCGAGCCCTGAGCCTCAGGGGGAGACGCTGGAGCCGGAACAAGTGCGTCTCTGGGGCCGCCGCTCCGCAAACCTGGGGCAATTCCACGTCCTCAAGCTCTAGGCTATGCGTCCCCCAGGAGGCCACGGCAGTGGGAGGGCTCTGGGGAGACCCCGGCTCTCCGTGTCCGGCTGTGCCGCAGCCCGCTGGCCTCGCGGTTTGGAATCGCACTGCCATCACCGGTGCCACCGAGGGCCATCAGAGCCTGGGAAGCTGCTCCCTAAGACTCGGAGATCTGGGCGGTCCAGCTCGGCCACCAGAGCCTGGAGACGACCCAGTACCCCACGGCCTGGGGGCCACGAGAGTCGAACCTTCGCTGACCCCTGCCCAGCGCCACGCCCGCAGAGACCAGCGTCCCAGGAGCAAACCCCCGTCCACATTCCAAGGAAATTACCTAAGGAGGCTGCAAGGGGGCTGTGTTTGGAGACAGACAAGACAGAGGCTTGCTTGTTACTGGTCCACAGGCTTATTTAATCTCATTCCAAATTAGCAGGAACTCTGAAATGTTCGAGTAATTTATACAACACAAGAGGGGTTTCATCAGACCTTTTGCAACTAACACTTTAGGGTAGCATAAAAGTTACCAATATTCCTAAAATCTTCAATATCGAAGCCAAAAACCTAAAAGAAGCCATGTCTGAAATACACTGACTTGAACACATAGCTATTTCGGATCATCCGAACCAAGCAGGCTCTAAGTAAAAATGGTTCATTAAGCCTATTTTGCCCCTTGAAAATTTTACTTCTTTTTAAGGACTCAAGGCAAAAAAGCAATGTTTCACATATAGGATTTTAACTCAGTAAATGTGTTGTAAATGTTACAAAGAGACTCACGTTAAAATGCTTCTGCCTTCCCAAAACTAGTTTCTTTTTACCTCTAAATTCCTCCTACCACTTTGCCCCTTTAAAGGCAAATCCAGGCCAGGTGCAGTGGCTCACACCTGTCATCCCAGCACTTGGGGAGGCCAAGGCAGGAGGGTCACTTGAGCCCAGGAGGTCAAGGCCGTAGTGAATGATGACAGCCCCACTGCATCCAGCCTGGGTGACAAAGCAAGACCTTGTCTCTAAAAAAATAAAATAAGATTTTTAAAAAATAAAAGGAGGTTCAGAGACTATGCTAGCTGTAGATAACTAAACATATTAAAACCTCAAAAGGTGGAACTTTCCATGAGCCTGTTCTAGAAGGAAGGAAAAGATGCATGGACAGCCTGGAGAGACACAGCAGGTGCTCGATGAAATCTGGTGAGATGATTCGGTGAGTGAAGGAAAAACCATTTAAACTTTAGTTTCTTTAGGCTAATAAAAACAAACAAACAAACTGTAAAAGCCACCACCTGAAAACTGCCACTTAGAAACACTCCCATGTAAATGGCGTCTCCTAACACGGCACACGGCCACCGTCACCGGCACACGGCCACGTCACTGGCACATGGTCACCGTCACCAGCACACGGCCACTGTCACCGGCACACGGTCACCGTCACCGGCACACGGCCACCGTCACCGGCACACGGCCACCGTCACCGGCGCCCGGTGCAGGGTGGGCAGGAAACCCCGCCCCTGCCCGGAGAGGCCGAGAGGCCTTCGCTGACGCTACAACAAACGGCCTGAACTTCTGATGCTGTGTCTAGGGGTGGCTCTGGCCGGACCCCGACTTCCGCGCAGCCCCCCAAGCTGTGCCAGTGGAAGCCGCCTTCCAGCAAACTCGAAAATAACTCCGAACCACGGATTCTATCAAACGCTCTCGGAACACTCTCAGAAGCATTTTAATTTCTCCGACTTCAGGGAGACCGCGGTATCCTTCTCTGAAGTCCGCGGGCCCATCAGAGCCGCGCACCGACACGGGCCCCCAAGTGGCCTGGTGAGAAGACCCCAGGGCGCCCACGGCCCATGGCGGGACAAGCCCCGCGCACTGCTCCCGGGGCGGGGTCACAGCGCAGCCGCCCCACGGGGAGGGCGGCAGCCGTGCCGTGGCAGGTTCTCCAGCCCAGACTCTGGAGGTGACTGAGAACACGGCACGCCAGCTGCGCACTCGGAGCCCCAGCGCCGTGCGTGCACGGGCCGAAAGGTGTCCGTGGGGAAGGAAGCCTGGCCCCGCTGTCTCACCGGCAAATCGACCCAGCATGCATTGCTGCAGCGGCCTCCAGCTGCCCCGGAGCACCCGCTAACGAGCTCGCCTGGAAACGCGTCTCGCGGGACCAGGAAACATATTTTGATGTGGAACCAAAACAGTGGGAAAGGTCAGCTGCAAACCCTGGAGATAGCCCGGTGCGCTCACGAGCCTTGTTTGTTTGCACAGCCCACAGGAATGTCGGACATCACGGCTCGCCAGGGCTGCTCTGTCACCAACAGATAAAAGTGGCAGAGCCCTTTGGCCGCAGAATGACTGCTGAGACTCCCAAGCACAGGAAAAACACGGCAGCCTGCTTCCAGCCACAGAACCAAAGGCAGGTCCGGCGCGGGCAGGGGGGAAACACCAGGGCAGAGGCGCCAAGGACACCACGGCCGGGCAGGCCATGCAGGGGCCGGCGTCAGGCTCCGTGAGAAAGGCACCCACCCGGCGTGGGCTGCAGGGCTGAGCTGGGGCCCCCAGGTCCCTGCACGGGGCCCTGGCCCCAGCGTGGCTGTCTGTGTGCAGGATCTTCACGGTTTCCCAGCTCAGGTCAGCACAGGCCTGACGCGCAGGACCAGCGTCCACGGGAAAGGGACAGACAGCGACACGCACCGAGGGCAGACTGCATGAAGGCACACAGGCAGGCAGCGGCGGGAATACACGCCCGCCTCACAAGGAGCCGGCCCCGCAGACAGCCGGACCCTGGCGGTCCCTTCCTGCCACCGTCTGCCCGCAGCTCCGGCAGCCCAGGAAACGAGACGCGGGGTTTCCCGACGCGGCCCAGCTTCTCAGGAAATGCTCCCCACTTCCAGCTGCAGCTACGCCCGGTGCCGTCACCCTGCCCCCATCTCACATGAGCAGGGGGACAGTGACCTCCGCCGCCATGAAAACGCAGACAGAACTGAGCAGGGGCCTGACTGTGTGCTTGAGAGCCAGCTTTAAAATATTATTTTTATTTAAATAAAAATTTCAGTGACAGCACAGCAGGCATAAACAGCTCTTAAATTTCTCAAATGCCACCAAACGGACTCTTCAAACTCCTGTGTGCACGAACTAAACGCAGGCCCCGAGACAGACTCTGCCTCGCACCTCACCGCGCCCAGAGCAGGAGCCGGGGCGGGCGGGGATGCCCAGCGAGGTCCGGGAAGGGCCGTGTCACCCCGCCCCGGCCTCGCGGGCTGCCTCTCTGAGGTCCCTGGTCCTCTGCTTGGCCTCGAGCACCTGTGGCTCAGCTGGGCTCGTTCACAGCCTGGAGCGGAGCCGCCCGCACAGCTCTGACCCTGCACCCGCCAGGCTCAGTGGCAGCTGCGGGAGGGCGGGAGGGGCCCAGCGCCGCAGTTTCCGCCACCGTGACCTCGCCAACTGCCTTTCATCTCAGGGGCACGCGCGCCCTGCCACCCAGCCTAGCCTGCGATGAAGGCGGGCAGGAGAGGCGGAACCTGGCAGTCCCAGGCCTGCGCTGCCCGCAGAGGGCTGGGCGGCCCCCGCCCTGACACCACAGGCTGTAAAGACGGGGCAGAAAACTGTTCCCCAAACGTGAAAACCCCAGGCAGGCTGGGGGACCCAGTGAGGCCGGCGGCCCCTGCACCGGCTGAAAGACCAGCAGCCACGGACCAGGAGCAGGAGCTCGCCCGAGCCCTCCCCGCCGGGCTGCCAGCCAGCGCCGCGTCTCCGGGGAGCAGGGGCTGTGCTGTTCTCGAGACGCGGCTCTGGGGATTGCTGAGCCGAGTCCCATCTGCACCTGGCGCGGCAACGGCAATTAAGACACAAGAGGCAGCGCAGAGCCCGGTCCGCGCTACTGAGAAGGCAGCTGTGCGCGCCCGTCTGTGAGCCCCTGTGGGCAGATCGTGCCCAGAAGCCACGTGCTGCAGCCCAAGCCCGGAGGCTGCGAGCACAGCCTTCCCCGACGGGGACTGTGCAGAGCGCGGTTAGCGCGAGGGCGTCAGCACAGAAGGGGCCTGGAGGGGGCAGATGCCACGTGGGGGACGGCCACGTGCAGACGAAGGCAGAGACCCAGTCCCTTCCGTGGGCCAAGGACTCTCCCCGAAACACCGGGGCTCAGGGCGCGGCCTGAGACAGACCCGCACCAGCCCCGGTAGGCCCCCGCGGAAGCCCCATCCTGACTTTCCGTCTCCCGGGCCACCAGGGAGTCCCCGCCCGGGGCTGGGCCGGACGCGGCCACCCGCCACAGCCACTCACCTCACGTAGGAGGGGGGCGCCAGGGACTTGGGCTTCGCCCACTGGTAGGGGTGCGGCGGCACCGACAGGTACTGCTCGCAGAAGGCGCCCTTGCGGATGTGCTGGAAGGAGAAGTCCTCGGGCGCGAAGTCGGGCGCGGGCGGGGCGGCGCCCAGGTCCTCCCCGGCCGGCTCCACCTTGAGCGCCACGGAGGGCGAGTGCTCCAGGCCGGTCTTGCGGGACTTGACGGGGACGCCGTCGCCCAGGTCCAGGCTGCCGTCGGTGGTCAGCGCGTTGATGGCCGCCACGATGGCCGAGCTGGTGTACTGCGTGGTGCTGCCCAGCCAGGTGTCGTCGGTCACGCTGACGCGGGGGGAGCCGTGCCGGGACGGCGTGGGCGAGTGGTGGGGCGAGCAGGCCGCCTGCCGGCCGTTGAGGCTGTACTTGCGCTTGTTGCAGGGCGACGCCGGCCGGGAGCCGCCCCGCGCGCCCAGCCAGCTCTCCTCCGTGACGCTGGCGCGCGGCGAGGGGCAGGGCGAGTGCCGCGGGGAGCCCAGCAGGGTGCAGGCCCCCAGCCCGCGGGGAAAGCCGTCCTCGGGGTCCGTGGTCTTGGGGGACACGCAGGGAGACTGCCAGGGCGACGTCTGCGGGGACGTGCAGGGGAACGAGTAGTTGGACTCGTAGGAGGAGGCCTCGGAGTTGCAGCTGCGCGAGGACAGGCTGCTGGCCGGGCTGAGGCAGGCGGGGTCGCGGTAGGCCTCCAGGCCGGGCAGGCTCAGCGTGGCCGTGGGCCGCTTGGCGCCGGGGAGCACATCCTCCACCTCCACGTCGTGGAAAAACGGGCTGCTGCTGTGGTGCAGGCCCAGGTACGAGGTGATCTCGATGCGGGGGCTCTCCAGGGCCGGGGCCCCGTCCGGCCGGATGCCGGTGGCGGACAGGAAGTACCCCGAGGACGCGCCGTCCATGGCGGCCCCGTACCCCGCGGAGTGACTCGCTGGCACGGCCGAGAGGCCCGCGGTGGCGGTCTGCAGGTCGTGGCACGGGGCTGGCAGCGAGGGGTGCGGCGTGGGGAGCGGCAGGGCGGAGCCGATGCTGGCGGGCGCATAGCTGTAGTGCTCTGGAAGGAGAGAGGACACGGCATGAGGACACGGCATGAGGACACGGCATGAGGGCACGGCATGAGGACACGGCATGAGGGCACGGCATGAGGGCACGGCGTCCCGGGCACGGCCCTGCGGGCAGCCCCCACCCAGCCGCTGCGGAGAGGCCGCTGCCTGCACCCCGGGAGAGGCCTCCGCGGTGTCCTGAGACCCCCGTCCCGCCGGGCCGGCAAGGGCCAGGGCCCTCAACACTTCCCGCCGCTGCCATGTCCCCCAGACAGCTGCAGGGTGGGTCCCCTCGCTGTCTTCTGCTCTTACTCAGAAGTTGCCCTCCCCGACCACACTAGCTTGCTTTCAGTGCCCTAACCCAACCATGGGGAAACCTCTCTCGTTTATTTTTCCTCCTTAATGTGTATCACAGTCTGACAATGTGTATTTTCATTCATTCCTCTCATCCGTCATCTCTTTGATGAGTAGAAACTGAGTTCCACAAGGACAGGAAATTTTGCCCACCTTAGTTTAGTTTGGTTTACTGCTGTCTTCAGAACCTAGGATTGTGCCTGGCACGTAACATGTGTTCAATTTGTTTAACGGATGTATGGATAATGGATGGATGAATGGTGGATAGATGAATGGTGGATGGATGGATGATGGATGGATAGATGATGGATGGATGGTGGATGGTTGGATGGGTAGATGGTGGATAGATGAATGGTGGATGGTGAATGGAGGGATGAATGGTAGATGGAGGTGGATGGATAGATGATGGATAGATAGATGGAGGTGGATGGATGGATGATGGATGGATGGTGGATGGATGAAGGATAGATGATGGATGGTGGATGGATGGATGGTGAATGACAGATGGTGGATGGATAGATGGATGGATGGTGGATGGTGGATGGATGGATGGAAGATGGATGATGGATGAGTGGTGGATGGATGAAGGATAGATGATGGATGGTGGATGGATGGATGATGAATGACAGATGGTGGATGGATAGATGGATGGATGGTGGATGGATGGATGGAAGATGGATGATGGATGAGTGGTGGATGGATGAAGGATAGATGATGGATGGTGGATGGATGGATGATGAATGGATGATGAATAATGGATGGATAGATGATGGATGGTGGATGGATGGATGGTGGATGGATGGTGGATGGATGAAGGATAGATGATGGATGGTGGATGGATGGATGATGGAGGATGGATGGATGGGTGGATGGATGGATGATGGAGGATGGATGGTGGATAGATGGATGGATGGTGGATAGATGGATGGATGGTGGATGGATGGATGGATGGTGGATGGATGGATGGTGGATGGATGGATGGTGGATAGATGGATGGATGGTGGATGTATGGATGGATAGTGGGTGGATGGATGGATGGATGGTGGATGGATGGATGATGGAGGATGGGTGGATGGATGGATGGTGGATAGATGGATGGTGGATGGATGGATGGATGGTGGATGGATGGAGGATGGATGGGTGGATGATGGATGGATGGATGGATGGATGGATGATGGAGGATGGATGGATGGGTGGATGGTGGATGGATTATGGATGGAGGATGGATAAGATGATGGATAGTGGATGGATGAAGGATAGACAATGGATGATGGATGGTGGATGGATGCTAGATTGATGGATGGATGGATGGTAGGTAGAGGGATCAATGATGGATGATGGATGGAGGGAGGGATGTGTTTTAGGTACAGGGACCTGGACATGTAAGTAGATTTTCATAGGCTATTCACTGCCAAGGTGCCCCAATCCACACCTACAAAGAAAATCCCTCAAGAAGTGATAAAAACATAGATTCTGGGATCTCTCTCACAGAGATGCTCATGGGCTAGGAATCCATCTCTGAGGACAAATGCATGGCTAGATTTAAAAATCTTTATGTGTTAATTACACCTCAATAAAATATTTTTAAAATTATTACTGTAATTAGAAATTTTAACAGGAAAAACAGGCTTCTGGATTTCTGATTTGAAAAAGACTTTTTATGACATCTTGGAACCTCATCATCACACACCTGGCGGCGAGCGTTCCAAGGTCTCTGAATAATGGAGACGGCACATGGAAACCCTATCTCCGTCTCGGGTTCGCTCTGGCCTGAGGACACTCTGCTCGGGGACGGCGCTGCCCTCTGCCGTGTCCTGTTCAGACACCAGTGAGGACGAACCACACAAGCCCGGGTCTCCAAGTGCGGTGCAAACGCCACCATGTTCACCAACAGGAACAGCTGCCACGCCCAACGGGGGACCCACTTCCGCCGTCACGGATTTCCAGGAGCCACGCAGTGCCCTCCTGGGATCCTGCCTGGCAGAACCTTTGCCTTCGGAAGTTCATGCCTCCATCGCTGTTTGCGACGCCCCGCGTGGCCTCTCCTCCACGTGGCTCGGCCCCCGCGCAGGAGCCCAGTGAGGGGACACCAGTGGCCCCCACCTCGGAGGGCCCCGGCCGCCCTCCCAAAATCCCAGACACGCTGGGCGGAGGCAGAGCCTGGCGAGGAGGAAACGCAATGGAGGGATCTGAAGCTGAGTCCTGCTCAAGACGCCTGCGGGCCGCGAGGGCCCCTCCCGCTCACGGAAAACCTGGCGGTCCTGGCGGTGCCCAGGTCCTGCCTCCCCGGCCGTGACGCCCCCCGCAGAGGACAGGGGCAGCGCAGTGTCCCCCACAGGCCCTGGGGAGCCGGGCGTTCACACAGTCAAGGAGCCCTGCTTTCCACCCAGCCGCACGCTGCAGCCAGGAGGCAGCCGCGCCCTGCCTGGCCTCCGGCGAGAACGCAAGGGCAGCCCTGGGGTCTGCTCCAGCCCTGGGACTGACGCACCCCTATCCACAGACCCCGCCACGCCCCCCACTACATGCTCACTGGTCACATCGCGAGAAAACCTGTGATCTATTGAACGTCAGATTGCAACCTTCTTAAACGTCACCCTGGAAAGCTGCTTCCTGGAGGAGAAGGTGAAGCCCTGGAGGAAGGAGCCCGGCCCCTCGCAGTCCCGGCCCCGCGCAGTCCCGGCCCAGGCATCGTGGTGACCACTCGCGACGGCCTCTGCAGAGTCCCTGAGCCCAGGGCTGCCGCACGCACCACACGGCAGGGTCCCAGGAGGTCCCTCTGCCCAGGCGCCTGCACACCCGGTGTCCTGCGCCAGGCCTGTCCCAGGGAAAGCCCCGGCCCCAGCACGCTCTGCACCTGGGTGCTCGCCAAGTCCCCTGGTAGCAGGGGGCCGGCGCCCACGGGCCGGAGGAGGCTGAGTCTGTCCATGGGTGATGCTGGCTTCTCCAGGAGGGTCTCACCCTGGAGCCACCAGGGGCTCCACCCGCCAGACGCTGAGCCGTTCTCTCCCTGTCTGCTCTGTATTTTCACCAAAAACTGCACGAAAAATACACCTTGCTAAACGTTTCTTCACAGCCACTGCCTGTGTCTACGCGATCATACATGTGCTGCATAAACACAGGCATGTTCACGTGCACACACGCATTCAGAGGCTCTCCTCCGATGTTTCCCAAATCAGAGCTTCTACTTTTAGGGAACTGCGTTTCAAAGCCCTAAGGTGTCGACAGCCTCTCTCCATCTTCGAGTAAGAAGTCAGACGCTAACTAACTTACTCAGAGCCGAGGCGGGCAGGACGGAGCACGGAGAGCGCTGTGTTACTGCGTGGGGCCTTCACACTCTCAACGAGCAGAATATTAATGACGCAGGTGTGAAATCATTATTTACAGGACAGGTTTTCTGGTGATCGGGGCTCAACAAATAGCTTCACTGCGGCCACACAGGTCAAGTGTTTTCCTCGCTCCCGCGGGGCGCTGCTCCCTGCCGACCACAGCCCCTCTGCCCCCCCAGGGCCCTGCCACGCCGCGTGGCCTGCAACTGCATTTCCTTGCGAAGTTTCTCTCACGACGCTGCCCTCCCACGGCCCACCGGCCTCTCCAGCCATCTCCGGCGTCTGGACCAGTCGGCCCTGGTCTTCAGACACCCTCTAGTCACAGACACCGCTCACACCTGGGCACCCACCTGCGCCAGCACACCTGCGCCAGCTCCGTACCCAAAGGGCCATGTCCTGTGGCCTCTGCTCCTTACAGGGTGGCCTGAGGCCCCCAGGAGGCCCATGGGCCCCGAGCAGGAAGACGCGGGGGCTCTGGCTTCTCTGACAGGTGTGTGCGGGTGACACTCACCTGCGGGACCAGGTCCACCTCCAGACGTGCTGTCCTTGAGGTGCAAACGTCCTGACTAAGGTGACAATGAGTGTAACCCCTCCCACAGGACGGCGTCCGTGCCAGGCCCAGCGCCCACCCTTGGCGGGAAGTGGACGTACCAGGAGCCCCCGCTTGTCTAGGACCCTCGTTCCGTGTGAAGCAGGAGTACCGGGGGCCCCCGCTTGTCTAGGACCCTCGTTCCGTGTGAAGCAGGAGTGCCGGGAGCCCCCGCTTGTCTAGGACCCTCGTTCCGTGTGAAGCAGGAGTGCCGGGGGCCCCCGCTTGTCTAGGACCCTCGTTCCGTGTGAAGCAGGAAGGAATCTGACACTCAGGGACAAACTTTCACTTTAAACAAAATTGCTGACTCCGGAAGACCAGAGGCAGCAGGAGGGGCTGGTGGAGCAAGAGCCCAGCAGACCCGCACCTGCCCTCGGCCGCCTCGGCCCTCAGAGGTGTCTGCGAGGGCCCGGCAGGGCTTTCCGGGCCTTTCCAGCCTCCCGCTGGCCATCCAGACCCCAGGGAGACATAGCCGAGGTTGAGGAACACGGAGCCCCCGAACTTTCTCTACCCCCCGCTAGAAGAATATTTATTTCCTTTTGAGACACGGCAGACCCCCAGCTGAGCTACATTCGAGGGAAGGAAGGAAACGATGAAGCACTTTTTAGAAAACTCCCAGCAATGAGCACGGCAAGCCTTGGGGCCCCCACCCTAAGACTCAGCGCCTGGGCTGGCAACGGAGGGGCAATCACCACCGCTGGAAGGTTCTAAGTGAAGCGGGCAGCAGTCCGACGGCGCCCGA